GTAGTCCGGACTGGATAAGTCCAAGTTCAACACTCCCACTCAATCTATAACTACGGAAGAGCGTTCAGTGTCGAAGACCAATACCTTCACAGAACTTCTTGACGATTGTCAGAGGAGCGTTCTTTGTGAGAGCATCAGCCAGCATGTCAGCCGTAGCGACGTAGAAGATGTCCACTTGTCCAGCTTCGTAGAATTCGTGAACGAAGTGATACCAGATCTCCACGTGCTTTGTCCGATGTTCGACTACCGGATTGACGGAGAGGAAGATCAACCCTTGATTATCTACACAGAGAGGGGTCGGCTCGCTCATGTCGTATCCGAGTTCGTCAGAGAACGTTCTCAGCCACGCCATCTGTCTGCAGGTGTCAGAGGCCGCTTTATATTCCGCCTCAGTTGAGGAGAGCGAAATGGTAGGCTGACGCCTCGATGCCCATGATATAGCACCACCGGCTAACAGGAAGATTGTGCTCGAGGTAGAGTGTGGTCGTCTCGATCTTCAGCCCAGTCAGAGTCCGAGTACGCAATCAAGCTATCATTAGAAGCACTGTTGTAGCGAATCCTGTAGGTGCGAGTGCCTTGCAGGTAGTGTAAGATGTATTTGGCATACTTCATGTGGTCAGGCGAGGGATTGGCACTGTACCGGGAGAGACAAGTGACGGTAAAGACGATATCTGGTCTTGTACCGAGCATGGCGTACATAAGACTGCCAATGAGGCTCTGGTAACGCGACCGTTCAGCGTCTGAGGCGAGTCCGTCATACTTGACAAGAGCAGCGCCTGCAGGAAGAGGGGTATTGGCAGGTTTACAGTCAGCCATCTCAAAACGCTCTAGGACAGACTGGACATAGTCCTCCTGGTCAATGTCGACAACGCACGAAGCACAATCACTACAAATGCGAAGACCAAGGAAGCGCTGTACTGCGCCTAAGTCCATCATTTTGTACTGGCGTCCAAGCGTCCGTTTGACTTGCTTGATGTGATTCTTGTTATTGCAAAAGAGGAGTAGATCGTCAACATAAAGAACCACAATGGTGACTGAATTCCCCCCCATGTCGCCGATATACATATACGCCGGCATCGGAATACGTCCGTGTAAACTCCAGATCAAGAAGGGATTGATGGATCTTTGCATTCCATTGACGCGAAGCCTGCTTAAGACCATAGATAGCCTTCTTGAGCAAGCAAACATGATCCTCTTTCCCCTTGACGACCCAACCTTCCGGTTGTTCCATGTAGATCTCTTCCTCAAGATCACCGTTCAGGAATGCGGTTTTAACGTTCATAGACTCCATCTCCCAGTCCTCAAGCGCAGCGTGCGCAATGAGATACCGGATAGATTCGTACCGCGCAACGGGAGAGAACGTCTCGTGATAGTTCTCACCCCAAACCTGGGTGAAACCCCGTGCAGCCAACCGTGCCTTGAACCGACCATCGTGCTTCTCATCGTAAACCCATCTACAAGAGACGACAGGCTTATCTTTGGGACGAGGCACTAGAACCCAGGTTTTGTTCTCGATCAGCGAATTGTACTCAGCTTTCTCGGCAGCACACCAGAGATCAGCCTTTGGAGAACGCATTGCTTCATGCCTGTTACGAGGAATGCCTGGTTTGTACTGCGCCGCATCAAGAAGCAACTCAAGTAAAGCATCCACATCCCCGGGGTTAGGCGCATCAGAACGAGAGCCATCAGGACGAGTACGAGCGTCAACCTGAGAAGGACGATTGGAGCCCTCAGCTTCCGCATTGTCCTTTTCCCATCGAGGATTGCGATCTGCACCTTGACGATTCGAACGTCTAGGAGGCGGAGCCTGAGGGTTGACTCCCACTGGCTCATGACGATTACAAACATGTCGAGGTCGTGTTGGGGGTTGCTCTACAGGAGGTGGTTGTTGCAGTTGCTCTTGCTCTTGAGCAGGCGGTGTGGGAGGTCGTTGAGGAGGTGGTGGTTGTGCAGGCTCGAGATCGTCAAAGTCAATCTCGTTGCCATCGGATAAAGGAATCCTAAAGCCCTCATTTGATGGAGAGCCCTCAGAATCCGAGGAAGAGTCTAAAGACGAATCATCGTCTTGGAGATCTGGGAACGGATTATCCCCTGGGGTAACGGGGCGATTGCCGGGTTCCTTACGTGCAGGGAAGACACTCTCATCGAAGGTCACATCGCGAGACACAACGATCAAGTGCTTAGCAGGGTTCCAGAACAGATACCCCTTGGTCCCATCTGCATAACCCACAAACATCATCTTGATTGCCTTCTTCTCGAGTTTCTGACGGTGGTCTTTCTGCGCGTGAACAAAGGCTTTGCAGCCAAACACACGGAAGTAGGAGACGTCAGGGACAGTCCCGTTCCAAACCGTGATAGGAGCACGCCATTTCAGGCGGCGCATTGGTTGACGATTATACAGATGAACGGCACAGGCGACGGCAAGTTGCCAGAAACCGTGAGATAAGCCAGCCATATGAAGCATCAACAAGGCTTTCTCTATGATGGTACGGTTCCAACGCTCAGCACGTCCATTCTTCTGTGGAGAATCAGGTGTAGACTTCTGGTGTTCAATCCCATACTCCTTCAGAATTGATGTGAACACTTCCGAAGTAAACTCTGTTCCTCGATCTGAGCGGACAGTCTTGATCTTGTAATCTGTACTTGTTACCGTTGGTACGCCCCACCCCCTATCTTTTTCTATTGGACTACTCCTTCTCGTCGCCCTCGTGTACACTCCACCCCCCTTCCTGTTCCCGGCGACCTATGTTTACCTTCCATTCCCCTGTCGTCCGCCTGTACGCTACCACCCCCCATTCCGCCCCCTGACGACTGCGTTCCTAGTCCCGGCCCTCTCCCTTAATATTTCCCCTTTCATCTATATGACCGGACCCTGAGTCCGACCCTGACCCTTTCCCTTTTCGGTTACATTACTTTACCCTGACCCAGACCCCGACCCTTGTCGCGCCCCCTTCCCTTTTTGGTTACATTATCCGACCCTGACCTAGACTCAGGACCCTGTCCCGCCTCTATCCCCTTTCGGTTATATCACAGGACCCTGACCTAGGTCGTGTACTATACCGGGTCCAGCCTCGACCAGATGTGTTCCTTTACAGTCTCCTCATACCTCCCCACTTTAGGCGGTTACCTTTCCCTTCCGAATACGGTCAGTACCCCATAGTACATAAGGAGGCCCGTAGTCGGTAGAGGCTCCCCACTTCTGTTCTCCTCTTCGTTACCTCCTGTATCCCTATATCCCTCAATCTAGGGACTTGCGCGATACTCTCTCCCCCATGTGCTACACCTCGTACTTGGATAAGTCCGCATGATAAGTCTGGATAGACTTGTGTTAGTACTTCAGCGTAACAGTACTGGTCTCAGCCCAAGCCTTGAATTCGTGAAAGGCTTGATGGGCCTGGTTCCTGTGGCGAAGAAAGTACGTGCGCCCAACACCAGAACAGTCATCAAGAAACGAGACATAATGAAGGTTGTGTCGGTTGATCGATTCCGTACCCATGGGTCCGTCCTCATCAGTATGAATGAGTTTGCAAGGGACGGTGGCACGCTTCTCAGAGGGAGGAAACGGTAGTCGATGAGACTTGCCCCACTCGCAGCCTTCACAGACAGGCGCGTTAGCAGGCGGAGGATCGATATGATCAACACCTTTAGAGTTCGCAGGCAGACGCGAAATAGCTTCTTTGGAGGGATGTCCAAGTCGACGATGCCACGTCCAGTAGTAAGTGACAGCCGGCTGAACAGAAGCCTTTGCGTCGCCTTTCGCAGGAATTTGGAGGAACATGTAGTAGACATTCGAGGTTTCGATGCACTTCCCCTCGAGTATCTTAGTT